CGCGCCGTCACCACCAGATCATAGGCCGGCACGCTCTCGCGGTCCAGGGCGCCGTCCAGCACCAGCGAGTAGTAATTCTTGAAGGTGGACACCAATTTAAAGGGGACATTGCGTGTTAATGAGCACGTTATCTGCCCGTTAGTCCCAGAGTCTCGGTCAGACACACTGATCAGGGCCACCACTGTGCCCACTTGGGCATCCTCTTGAATGGGAAGTGACAGTGAAGTGACTACTACTTCAGGGGCATTGTCATTCAAGTCTAGAACTTCCACCAGAACTGTGCAATGACCTGCCATGGAAGGAATTCCTTTATCTATAGCATTAACCTGAATTTCATACGCATTATTTTCTTCATAATCTAGTTTCCCATATATGCGGATGTCACCTGTATCCTGGTTTATCGAAAAGAAGCATTTCTCACTCACTGGCAGGATCATCCTGATTCCATAGATAATTTCTCTATTTAAACCATCATCTACATCAGAGGCGTTCAGTTGGATGACTCTCGTGGCGTTTTCGACGTTTTCAAACAATACTACTTTATAGACAGTTTTATCAAATTCCGGGGCGTTGTCATTCACATCAAGGATGGTTATTAGAATCTGAGCAGTTCCTGTTAGCTCCGGCCTACCTCCATCTGTGGCTGTGAGCCATAAATTAAGCTCTGGAGTTGACTCTCTATCCAATGGTTTTCTAAGAACCAGTTCCGGCAGTACACCTTTATCAGTTTTTGTTATTATTTTAAGTTCAAAATGCTCGTTTGCATTTACCCTATAGGTCAAAAGAGAATTTACTCCAATATCCGGATCTGAAGCGCCCTCTAGAGGAAAATGAGAGTCCAGAGGCGCAGATTCTGATATAAATACCTTTTGTTCTCTTTCTCTGAAGACTGGCGCGTTGTCGTTAATGTCCTTCACCTCCACCTCCACGTGGAAGACCTGCAGCGGCTTGTCCACGATCACCTCCAGGTGGATGCTGCACCCCGCGCTCCGCCCGCACAGCTCCTCGCGGTCGATGCGAGAATTCACAAACAGAATGCCGTTCTGCAGATTCACCTCCAGAAGGTCCCCGCGGCCTTTGGACGCCACCCGGAACAGGCGCGGCACCAGCTCCGCCAGCTCCAGCCCCAGGTCCTGCGCGATGCGGCCCACGAACGTGCCGTGTTTGGCCTCCTCGGGCACCGAGTAGTGGACCTGACCGCTCCCCGCCTCCCAGGCTGCGAAGAGCAGAAGCGACAACAGCAAGCGATGAGGTCCGGGGCCTCTTCTCCAGGAAAACAGCATTGCAGATGAGGAAGGCTTCAGCAGGGGATGCCAGGTTTAAAGGAACGCTCACATAGATTTGAGAATCCACCCTTTTCTTTGAATATGTAAATTCTACCCAGCATTTCAGTCAATAAGGAGTCGATACAGTTCTGTGAATGGTTGGAATCCTTGGGTGCGGAGAGGAAATGTTCATTTTTCATCTTTTGGGCGTAGAGCGACATCATGTGACTGACTCTGTAAGTACAAGAAGAATCCTGAGATTCTTCGCTTTAGTGTGTCCATGTTCTGGCTCGATCTCTGATCTATTCCGACTTTTGGATATTTTCATGAGTTGTGTATAAGGGTCCATTTAGTCAAAATATTTTAAGAAATTAATAACAAAGCACAGATAGTTTAGTCATGCTGTACCTTTATTACTATCATTCACTTCCAAGTCTATAAAAACTTTGAGGTTCAATGTTAGATGCTGCATTTCTGCTATCAGAGAATAAAATAAAGATTAGTATATTTCATTCCATGTCATTTTATAGCTTAAAATTCTTTTTTATGTTTATATTCCCTCTTACTTTCCCAATCACTGCATTATTGGTAGTCAAGAACTCTTGTTAGTAAGGGGAGGAATCTGAAAGTTTTCCTAAATTTAAAAATATCCATTTATAGAAATTCTTTTATTCATAGTCTAGTGAATATTAGAATCCACAAACTATGGAAACTATTATTATTATTATTATTCTTTGATGCTTAAAAGTTTTGAATTCTTGTACAGTTGCACTTACCTTGATATCATTCTACAATGTGACTAAGGTACAGATTCCAACAAATTCCATTCTAGTATTGTGAAATGTTTTCATTAGAAGTATAGGCTGAAGTCTCCAAAACACAATCGTCTGTGGTAGTAATGGAGGATTAATATGAAGAAATGTATTTTACACTGTCTTATAGTCTGATATCATGAATATTGGCCTGTTTAGAGTCCCTATATCTTTCTCTACAGGTCAGTTAGTAGTTCCTCAAAACATGATTCTCTTGAAAAAATTAGAACTGTAACTACAAAGCAAGCAGAAATTTTTAAAATCAAACTCTCATAGTTTTATTAATTAAAGACTAGCCTTAAAGGAAAATAAAACCGGTAAGATGCTACAGGTATGTCTATACACGCTAGTATAGATTTTATAAGTTCATTAAAATGCCAGTCAAAATCTTTAAACCAATAATTTGTCAAGATTGTCTTTACAAATAAAATGTGAAGAAATCACACGATAGAAAAGAACATATAAATAACATATAAAAAACCTTAATCTATAAAACTGGCTCTTAATTAATCAAAAGACAGCCGTGATGGCTCTAGTGGTTCAAATCCACTGCCAACTTGGAAGAAGAAAAATATCAATCTTCTTTTGTGCAATTTACAATTTCCAAAACCAAATAGAGGGTGAGCTATGATTTAGCTCTGAGCTGAGATTCATCATTTAAATTGTCTGATATCACCACCAAATTTCTTCATTTCCTATTTCCCATTTTCAGAAAAAAATAACACACCTTAATGTTAACGAATCTTCATGAAAAAGATTACTTCAGGTAGTTGTCACAGGTTGTTAGGGATAAATTGTTGACACAAAGGAACAGCTAAAGTTATCTTGTTTGTTGTTAAGTGCTGTCAAGTTGTAGATGACTCATAGAGACCTTATGAATGAAAGCCCTGAACACTTGTATAACTTTTGTCATTTCTCCACTTTTATAGGGTTTCCAGAGGCAAGCCATTTCAGAAGTGGATGCCACTCCTGCTTCCAAGCTTGTTTTAATCAGGGAGCTCAACCAAACATTGTCCACCATGAGTAACCATTATCGCATTTGACACATCAGTGTCACAGTGTTTAGCATCACAACAACCTCTTTAGTCCATAAACAATTGAACTGAAATATATGTTAAAATTGCAATGCTAAGCCACAGAAAACACTACACATGTGGAAGTCTGAATAATTTACAATTATTTAGAATGTCCTTTGACTATTTATATAAAGTAAAAGTAATGTAAATTGCTTTATCACATTTAAGTTATCTTGAGTCATCCCAAGTACTTCATCTGGTGACCAACCTAATATTCACACTATATTATATATAATGTAATATAGATTATATACATATATAATATTTTGAGAGAGAGAGAGTGAGTTCTCTAACAGTCTAATGAATGCAATCCAAAAACAAAGATACATGCTTCAAATCTACCAGCTGCTTCTCTGGGCAATCTCCTCCAATGAGATTAACTGCCTCTGAAAACCTACTAGAGGCTTACCTATGAGTTGGTTCTGACAGCACACAAAAATGCAGTTGGTGTGACGTGTGTGTGTGCGTGTGTGTGTGTGTGTGTGTGTGTGTGTGTGTAAGTAGTATGATGCATTAGTCATCTTGGATGTGAAATTTTTTTTTCTCTTCTACACCTCCTTTCCCACGTAAAGTTTATTCACAAATAATTATTCAGGTACTAAAGGTTCTGCATCTTAGACTCATTGTGTCAAATAGTATGACATGCAATTTTAACAAGATAATGTCCACATATAGCTTTACTCAAACTCTCAAACTCATTGCTTTTGAGTGAGAACCAACTATTAGTCGACCTTCTCCAGTGGATTTGCAGAGGCTGTAAATCCCAAGAGAGATTACCAATTTCCCTCTTGCAGAGCCAAATAGCAGCCCAACTCCCTATGGATTCATTTTATAAATAGGTAAGAAACACTGAATTTGAAGAATGACCCAGAGGAAAAAGACTTATACTGGAGCTCTCAGATCTGATTATATCATATGTAAAGAAAATTTCCCAAACTAAAGAAGTAGGAGTGGCATTCACTTCTGAATCGGCTTGTCTCCAGAAACTCTATGAACATGGAGAAACAACCAAAGTTATACAAGCGTTTGGGTCATTCATTAATAGGGTCGCTACAGGAGATTCCAAAAGCCTGCTCGGAATGACAAAGCAAAATACTACAATGAAATGTGCGAGGAGCTAGAGTCAGAAAATCAAAAGGGC